TATTTTACAGTACTCTCAAGAGTAAATGAAGCATCTGGGGAAAAATCTCTAACTTTGCTGAGCACATAACAAATACCAAAAATCAGTTCCTTTCTTCTGTCTTCTCCCACATGTAGGTAGGTGAAATCATGTCATAAATGTTTGCTTAGCTATATCCTGCCTCATTCCAAGCAATATACTTAATAATGAGACCATAGGGACATGGGGAGAGTTTTAAAATACATTGTACTTCATTTAATCTTTAATATTATTTTTCTAATTTGCAGTTTCTGTAATCTAACAGCTACATTTGCAATAGAAACGTTTGGACAGATTCCCAGGTAATGAACAGCGCCTAACTGGACTTTAATGAGGGAATTTCTAAAAGATACAAGTGGCAGCTAAGAAGGAAAAGCACCTCTTCCCCATGTCTCCCAGAAAGAGCCTGTGCAATCACGTTTCAGGGTCCCCAGCTTAAATCTTATTATGAAAAATATTATTATACAGTATATAATGCAAATGAATCTTAAACAAAAAAAACACTTGTATGAAGTGTTCACTGCAAAGTCAGTGGTTTTAATATATTTAGATTTTGGGGGGCTATCTATGAAATCTGTCTTCCCAAATGAAACTTGCTGTTTCCCTGAAGCCCTGGAGCTTCCGCCCCCCTACATGACATCCTAAAATTGTATGTGTATATACAGGGATACGGCAGCAAGGAATTCCTAAGAACTGTGACTGCAGCAAAGGTCCCCTTTTGTGCCATCCCACTCAACAGCCACTGTCTTCCTATCAAACATGTCCCAGCTCCTCCTACTTGGCAGATGGTGGAATGCAGTGTCAGGATTGGACAGTGGCTGTGCCCTCTGCTCCAAGCCTGGGTCAGCTTTCACCCACAGACCCTCATTGTGGTGTGTTTAGGAACAGTAAAGGCATTTCCCCGGACTCAGCTCCAGTTCCCTTGGAGAGCAGAGTTACAAGTTATAATACTAAAGTTAGGACGCCAAATGACTTTGCTACTCAATTTTGGGCCCGGTGTTTGGAATTTGGGTGCTTGGGTTTTTTTTTTGGGGGGGGGAGATGTTAAATAAGGGCATAAAAAAAACATTAAGTTACTCATGGCCCTACTGTAAATATTACTGACTTCCGGAGATTTGTGCTAATGGAATGTTAGTGTGAATAATCTGCAAATGAAGTCAAGAGTTGTTTCTAAATAACTTTGGGAAACATGCATAACCTTTCTGTAGTGACTTTTCTTCCTCATTGGGTTGGTATGTTTGATTTAGGTGACTATTAAGGTATGCCCACCCAAGTACCCACCAGCAGAAGAGGGAGACGAAGTTAGGGAGGAGAAAGAGCGAAGGAGGAGGGTCTCACCTGCATGCCCCCGCTCTCACCTGCCAGCATGAGCACAGCACAGAGGACAGTCTATTTGGTTACTGACTGTAGGTTAGCCTCCGTTAACACCTGGGCCCTGAAGGGTAGCAGAGGCAGACAAGGGCTGGCTGGTGGTTGATATTTTCTTAGTAACAGAGCCCTTTTCTTTTTTCTTTTATTTATTATTTATTTTGAGATGGAGTCTCACTCTGTCATCAGGCTGGAGTGCAGTGGCCTGATCTCAGCTCACTGCAATCTCCCCCTCCCTGGTTCAAGTGATTCCCCTGCCTCAGCCTCCCGAGTAGCTGGGACTACAGGCACTCACCACCACACCCAGCTAATTTTTTGTATTTTAGTAGAGACGGGGTTTCACCATGTTGGCCAGGATGGTCTCGATCTCCTGTCCTCATAATCCACCCACCTTGGCCTCCCAAAGTGCTGAGATTACAGGTGTGGGCCACCGTCCCCGGCCCAGAGCCCTTTTCTTGAGTAGTGACTAGAAATGAGTTTGTAAAAGGCAGAGAGCTGGGTACTTCCTTGCTCCTAGCTCAGTACTTCCTTGCTCCTAGCTCAGTACCTCCTTGCTCCTAGCTCAGTACTTCCTTGTTCCTAGCTCGGTACTTCCTTGCTCCTAGCTCAGCACTCAACTCTGCCACTTTCCCAAAGTTTCCATTCTGCTGCCTGGAATTACCACCATTTAACCAGCGAACTCACCTAGACCTTCAACCATCCTCTGAGCCCTCCCTCTCTCTCCTTAGGTGAAACCAGGCTCTCCCTGAAGACACTGCTTCACCTTCAGTCCTCTCAAGTGGAGGATTTTCTTACATTTTCTATTTTCTTACACCTCCCATGTACCTCAGGGGCCAATTCCAAATCATTATTTATCAGTTCTAAATCATTATTTACCCTGGTTCTTGTCAAACAATTCCAAATCATTATTTATCCTCGTTCTTGTCAAACAAGACCAAAAGAAGCAAAATATACCGCGATCCTCTGAGACCCACAGCATCTGCTGCGGCCCCAGCTGTCTGTCCTCACCGCTATGTCCGCTGCATAGTTGGCTCCATTCACTCACAACTCTGGCTCCATCGCACTGTTTTCCTCTCCACGTCAAGCCCCACCATCAGTGTTCACATCCAGCATCCAAAATCGTGGCCTTACCACCTCCTCGGTGACCCCCTCCTCTGCTGCACTTCAGCCGTCCACTCCCATGGTCACACCTTCCAGACTGTCATGACTTGTAACTTCTCCGCTTCCTAAAGCGCAATGCAGACATCCCATTCTTTGACCACAGCCTCCTGTCCTTCCAGCTTGTTAATTACCCACCGCAACCTCTCTGCACCCTTACTGCAACCTCCACCTGTACTTTCACTCTCTCTTTTTTTTACTTTGCATTTCCTTACCTTTAAAAGTCCATTATTTCAAGAACACTTCCCAGTACACCCTCACCCCTCCGGGATTTGTTCCTCCCGCTGGCAAATCCCCAACTACCTACTTTCTCTGTGACTACACCTGAGCAGCATTCTCTGTAGCAATGATTTCAGATTGTATCTAATTACTTTCCTCCTCAAACCTGCTTTCCTTAATAATCAAGATAAGCTTGTTTCCACCCTCACAAAGAAATTAGAAGCCATCAGCCACGAATGCCCTGTATTCCTGATTGCAAACATAAAAATCTACTAACCTACCCATCCCCTTCTCTTTCCATGTCTTCCCATACGCTTCTCCCTTTGTCTGAAACATGTTCCTATCTTGGTCTCTTCCTCCACCCTTAGGCATTTTCATCTAGCTAACTCCTACTCCCACTCATACCCAGCTAACTCCTGCCGAGGCTCAGTTCAAACATCCCCTCCACTAGAAGGCCTTCCATGGTGTGTGGCTCCCACAAAACTTCATTTCCGGCCGGGCACAGTGGCTCACACCTGTCATCCCAGCACTTTGGGAGGCCGAGACGGGCAGATCACTTGAGGTCAGGAGTTCAAGACCAGCCTGGCCAACATGGTGAAACCCTGTCTCTACTAAAAAATACAAAAATTAGCTGGGTGTGATGGCACCTGCCTGTAATCCCAGCTACCCGGGAGGCTGAGGCAGGAGAATGGCTTGAACCCGGGAGACCGAGGTTGCAGTGAGCTGAGATTTCACCATTGCACTCCAGGCTGGGTGACAGAGTGACACTCTGTCTCAAAAAAGAAATTCATTTCCTCCTCTAATTGCATTGATCACTTTGTCTATTTTCCTCCCTGGTCAGCCTCAGACACTAAAAGGTAAACACCTTGAGGGTGGACAGTGTGTCTTATTAATCTTTGTTCTCTGTCAATGGCATAGTAGCTAGCTATTCAAAAATTGTTTAAATAAATAATAGCCAAAATGTGAAGTGTGATTTAACGATTTTTTTTTTTTTCTGATTTCAGTTCAAGTGTCTACCTGGTAGCTTCTTTCCTCTTTGTCCTGATGCTACTGTTCTTCACTATCCTCATTTTGAGCTACTTTTGGTACATGAGGATTTATAGACGATATATTAATGAACCACTTCACAAAGCTCCAAGAAAACATAAGACGAATTAGGAAAACTGAAAGTTTGTTTATTACGGATCTATGTATGTAGCGGGACAGTGTATTATATGCCTATATTGAGAGTGTGGGTTTGACCAAGAAATACTAAATATAAGCTCATAGGAGGCATCACCAAATTCAAGATCTGAAAAATATTCTTGAACTATCTCCAAAATAGAAATATTTGCATATATATATATTGTGTTATTAAATTAATCCTTTATGTGTTTGCCTTCATTTTAAAGGTATTCTATGTACTCTTACATGGCATGAAAAAATAAACTAAATTGACCTTTGTATGAATAAAAGTGAATTTTTGAAAATATATCTATGTGTCTCACATGCTAGACCATAGGGCTACTGGAAAATATATATATGTGTGTGTGTCAAGTATCATTTTACATGAAACTTTTCCCATGAAACCTTACATGGCTGTAGTTAATTTATGTATGAAGGACTTAACAAAGGTGTGTGAATTTAAATAACCTGCCCTAAACAGATTTTTTCTACTGGTAAATTCATATATGAAACGTAAGATATACTAAAAATGAGCAGCTGATGTTCTAAATTTTATTTTATTTTATTCTATTCTAGTCCAATTATTGTTTTGAGATAGGGTCTCGCTGTGTTGCCCAGGCTGGTCTTGAACTCCTGGGCTCATGCAGCCCTCCAGCCTTGGATAGGATTATAGGTGTAAGCCTGTAAAATTTAGAGCTGGCCCTAAATTTGAATTCTAAGTTTTAAATTTTGACTTTGATGCTCAAAATAAGCTTCTTAATTTGTCCAAATATTACCACAGGCTTCTAAATAATTAGTATTTGTATCAGTCAGGATTCAACAGAGAAGCAGAACCAGGAGGAAGGGTGGGTGCGCGCGCACTAACTCTCCTCTAAAGTGATTTATTTTAAAAGAATGGGATTATGTGATCGTGGAGGCTGGCTAAACAAGTCTGAAATGCACAGTGCAGGCAATCAAGAATGGAAGATCACAAGTAAGATGAAATTCCACAGGCCTCTCAAAGCTGTTGTCCACAAAGAATTTCTCACTTCACCAAAATCAAGAGTAAGACAGACATACCTGCTGTTCACCGCTGTTTTGAAAGTTCTGACATCACAAGAGAAAAATAAAATAAACAGTACCAATGCTGGGAAAAAAGAGACAAAATCCTCTCTTTCAATAATATTATGTGCTATGAAAGCCCAAAATTCACAACAAGTTTTACCAGAATAAGAGAATTTGATGGCTCTAACTAGACAAATATTGCTAAATTAATACCTTTCTAATAGTTCTAATCTGTTAGAAATAAAAATAATAATCTATTCATTGTAGTTACAAAATATATAAATTTAATATGAGAAGTACATGACCTATATGAAGAAAACTTTAAAATGTTTAATGAAAATGGTGAAACAAGACCTGAAACTAGATGGGGAAGACAAACTACCCAACAGAAAATGCGCAAAGTTTCAGTCATCTCATGAAAGCGCATGTCCAAACAGCCAACAAATACATTTAAAACAACTTTTTTTGGTGTTTATTATATGCCAGGAACTGTTGTAATAACTAAACCTCCATAACTCTATGAAACAAGAACTATTATAGAGATGAGGAAATTGGCACATAGAAGGTAAATAACTATACTAAGGTCATATAATTGGTAAGTGATGGAGCTGGAATTCAAACTCAGGCAGACAGGCTTCGTAAGTATCCACTATGGAAAGTCAACCTTGGCTGGCAGGTGGAAAGATACAAACCAAAGTCACAACATGGCTGCATTTTTCACCTGGTGACAAAAGCTCCAAAGGGTAATAATAAATTTTGACTTTGATGCTCAAAATAATAAATTTTGACACCCCCCCCACCATGGAAATCAGGGAGAGGAAGGGATGGGAAGGAAATTATCTTGCAGTTCTGAAGGAAATGTAAATTGCTATAGTTTTTTTTAAGCAATCTGGCAAAATCTGTTAAAATTAAAAATACATATTCTCTTGGACCCAGCAACCCCGCTGTTAGAATCTTTCCACAGGGTGGGATGTAGAGGACCAATATATCAGGATATGTGTGTGGGTGTAGATGGATGGATGAACAGATATAGATGATATACATATAGATAGATGCAGATATGTAGACAGAGAGACGGCATCATTAGTTGCTGTGGCAAAACTCTAGAAACAGAATTAACACCTACCAACAGGTGAACAGGGAATGGCTGACTACATGATGCTTGTACGTTGACCACATACTTTGTGCTAAGTGACTTAGATGATTTTTCCACAAGGTTTTGATAAATGAGAAAAGCAAGCTACAGAGAACCATCTGTACTATGATCCCATTTTCATGTAAACAAAACAAATGTTGCGTGACTGAGAACATGGAGGAAAGTATGACGGCGAGGTGGAAGCAGGGCAGGGAAGTGCTTGGTAGAGAAAGGCGGGGCCCTGGCTAAGGTGCCACCCTCGGGCCTGTGCCCACGACCTGGGTGAGCACAGGCACTCCTGCCTTCACGCCCAAATGTTGCATTTCCCAAGAACACCCTGGCCCGCCACGCCCCGTCCTGCACGTATAAAAACCCCAAGACCCTAGCAGCTGGACGTGGAGAGCACATCAGCGAACGCACACGCGGGGGGCTGGACGGCGGGAGCAGCAGTGGGTTGAAGAGCACAACCCGCAGGCCGTGGACCAGCAGGACGTCGCGGGGTTTGGCGGGGGCGGTGGGGGAGAGCCCGGCTGCCACGCGGCCGACCCAGGGGAAAACCGTCTCCATTCTGGCTCCCCCATCTGCTGAGAGCTACTTCCACTCCACAGAATCTCACACCCATTCTCCAAGCCCACATGTGATCTGATTCTTGGGGCACCAAGGTAAGAAACCCAGGAAAGAAAGCCCTCTGTCCTTGCGATAAGGCGGGGGTCTAAGTGAGCTGACTCAAGCTGCCCACGGACAGCTAAACTGAAAGAGCGCGCTGTCACACACACCCACTGGGGCTTCAGCTCTGAACATCTGCCCCTGGACACTGCCCGGGTTGGAGCCCCACCATCTGCCCATCTGCATGCTCCCCAGAGAGGTTTGCGCGGTGGGGCACTGAAGAAGCGAGCCGCAGGCCCGTCGCACGCCCTGCAACGGGGATAAGGGAGCCTTTCCCGTTTCACCAGTATACATACCATTTTGTTTCCATTGTGCGTACAGGCATGGACGTGTGTGTACACGACAGGGGGCGTGGGGCTGTACCAAGAGATGCAGAGAGATAGAAACAAGGCCTTCAGAACTGGGGTGAGGGAAACAAGAGACACGCAGCAGGAAAGTGTTCTTTGATGTCAACCAACATGTTTGCACATAAAGACAAATGAAGTCTCAGAACTGAAAGTGATGTCATTGTTTTGAGGAAAATATTTTTTTATTGACATAATTGTACATATTTACGGAGTGCATAGTGCTGTTTTTCTACATATAATGTATAGTGACCAGATCAGGTAATTAGCACATCCATTATCTCGAAGGTTCGAATTTCTTTGTGTTGGGAACATTGAATATCCTCCTTCTAGCTATTTGAAACTCCGTATCATTATTAACTAATGGTCATCCTACAGTGCTATAAAACACTAGACCTTCTTTTTGTTTTGTTTTGTTTTTTTGAGACAGAGTCTCGTTCTGTTGCCCAGGCTGGAGTGCAATGGCACAATCTCGGCTCACTGCAACCTCTGCCTCCCGGGTTCAAGCGATTCTCCTGCCTCAGCCTCCCAAAGTGCTGGGATTACAGGCTGAGCCTCCGTGCCCAGACCAGAACACTAGACCTTCTCCCTTCTATCTAGCTGTAATTTTGTACTCCTTAACACAGGGGTCCCCAAGCCCCACGGGAGCATTACCGCCTGAGCTCCACCTCCTGTCAGCTGCAGCATTAGACTCTCACAGGAGGTGAACCCTATTGTGAACTGCACATTCGAGGGATCTAGGTTGCACGCTCCACATGAGAATCTAATGCCTGATGATCTGAGGTGGAACAGTTTCATCCTGAAACCATTCCCACCCCTCACCTTCTCCACGCCTCGTCCATGGAAAAAATGTCTTACACAAAACCAGTCACTGGTGCCAAAAAAGTTGGTGACTGCTGCTTTAACAAATCGCTCCCTGTCCTTCCCTTCCCCCTAACAAAATGAGGTAATTTTAGATGCTCTTTGCCTTCTTCCTACTTCCACCACATTGAACTTAAATGTTTTAATTAATCATAAAAAACAAAACTGCTCTTACTGTGAGCAAAGAGATGAGAAAGGAAGAAGTAGAGGCAAGTATACACAACTCTTTCAAGAAGTTCCCCCACCCCGACTTTTTTTCTTTTTTTTTTTTTTTTTTTTTTTTTTTTTTTTTTTTTGACAAGGAGCAAAGAAATGGAGGCCACCTGAACACAAGTGAGGACGGGAGGATGTTACTGAATATGGGTGGAAATAAGCAAGTGGCTAGGAGAAACTGATGATACAGGAGAGAAACAGGTAATCACTGGATCAAAATCCTTGAGTCAGCAAGAGAGAATTAGATCTTGTGCTGAAAACTAAGAATTGAATATTTCATGCAAGTCCATTACTCATGAACTCTGGCCCCCCTCCTGCAGCAGTCATAGGTAGGCTGTCAGGAAGATCAGTGGTTCCTGGAGGCGGGGAGATTGTCCCTCGAGTCTCCCACTGCGGGAGTGTAATTGACGCAAACAGCATCAGCTGTTGCCCTCTGAAACTCATCACCACACTTGTACCAAGCCCACGCCCCCTCAGGCCGCTCCTCACCTGTGACCGTGTGCAGTGGGGATAGTAAGGAAGACCCAATGCTGGTAAACACAGGACTCTTATCAGCCCAGTTCAAAGACTCCCAAAGGCTTTATCAAACTGTCCTTAGATTGCGCAGCAGTTTAGGCAACTGTATCCAATCTCAATCGGCACCATCTCTCTCCCACACACTCTTTCTGTCTGGTAACTCTCCCAACTTCCACAGCTCCCTATTTCGTTTCACACAAGCATTTTCCTTTAATGAAATCCTTGCAAAAAAAATTTTTTTTTGAGACTGAGTCTCACTCTATCACCCAAGCTGGAGTACAGTGGCACGATCTTGGCTCACTGCAATCTCTGCATCCTGGGTTCAAGCCATTCTCCTGCCTCAGCCTCCCAAGTAGCTGGGATTACAGGCACCCACCACCACACCAGGCTAATTTTTGTATTTTTAGTAGAGATGGAGTTTCACCATGTTGGCCAGGCTGGTCTTGAACTCCTGACCTCAAGTGATCCACCTGCCTCAGTCTCCCAAAGTGC